CAAGCTGTATATCTTCCGTGCGAGGAAGAACATACATTCCTTAATGCTATTGAAAAATAGTAATGGGGTCATAAAATGTTGCAACAGATATGTACTGTTGTATGCAATAACAAACATTACTAATAAACCTGGTGTTAGTCGCTTTACGGTAGACTGTCATCTCTATATTCCTGTGTGGCAGTTTTGTAGCTTGTATGTCGAGAAAGATCAATTTATTGGTGACTTCTCCTTCCATGGTAAAGCGTATGTCGGAAAAGATTGAATTTAACGCTGCATTGAAAGCCGGCATGTTGTCCCTTTTTATTATGACGAATGACGCCTACATGTCTGGCGCAGAACCGAAATTCATAAGTACACTTTCGATCAGGAAGGGTTACTCGCGGGACTGCAATATTAAGTATTTTGCGGTATGGTCTCATAATATTTCAGGCACGCCAGGGTGTTGGCCTTCGACTGCACTTCGTTCCCATCGCTTGAAAAACCGCACTCCGTAAAAAGGCTGCTTAAGTGGTATTCATATTTCCTATTGATTTTCGAAGCCTCTATAAATGCAAATGTATTCAGAGCACTGCATAGAAATATCCTTTTCTTGTATCTATTTGGTAGCAAAATAAGTCCTCTTGAAATTTCAATCTAGGAAAATGATATTTTTCGGTTTTCAAAAGTTTTTCAATTCCCGATTAATTTTGAACACGATCTGCTGTTAAATGTGCGTTTTGCGCTTTCACTCTACAAGCTGTGTACTTTCCGCGTAAGGAAAAACATACATTCCCTTAAGCCGTCGATACGATACTGCATGGGGCTCATAAAATGTTGCCATGGATGCGGATCATGTTGTATACTTAATGAGGCTAGTTATTAAACCGACAGATACGATGTTATCCGAGTGCACGTTGCATGGTCTTAAGAAATCTAATAATTAGGTACCTTAAAAACCGAAATATACCCTTTCTTCGTGATTTGCTACCAAATGAATACAGGAAGTAAAAAAATTTTTGCGTGTTTTCTGCAACATGCTTTTACATTTAGAAGTGCATCGAAAATGAGTGCAGAAAATGCATACTACTCAAGTAGTCTTTGCCGGGCGTGTCTTTCACAGGTGGCCGAAAAGAAGTGCATTCAAAAGCCAACATCCTAGATTGTCTGAAATATCAGGGATAATGCCGCAAGATGATCACTGTTGCAACCCCTTTCAAGCAATCCCTCTTTATCGAAAACGCCCAGAATTTCGGCTAACATTTCATGCGATCGGGCGCTGACTATTTTCCGTTCGTCCGACAGATTGCGGCCTGTTTAGCCCATTACCATGCACAATTGCTACTTGTTTTCTTTCAGTAGCAATTTCGTAAACCGTCTATGTGCAGCACGACACCGGAATTGCAACTTGGACTACTCATTTTCAAAATTTCTCTAGGTGTTTCAGAGAGTGAATTCGCACCGACCGCTAGGTGGCCTGTGACTTATTTTGAGTACCCCGAGTAGTCCGTGCATTTACTGGTTTGAGAGCTTGTTATCGCAAACTGTGGGAAACCGATGTGCATTTTTTATTCGCTTATTGAGCGCGCTCAGGCCTCTCCCTTTGAAACTATTGCATATTCTTATACGGCGGAGATTTTAGGTCGGCTTTCTTGTCTACTCTACAACTTTGGGTTTGTGGGAAAGTTGTATGTATTGCCAGTTTTCATCTGACATTCCGGCTTACATAAGTGAAGAAGAAGAGTCGATCACCGGAACACCTTGTTTATTTTCCTGAGCTTTCAGACTCGTACAGGAGTCCATCGTCAGAGGTTGTAGCAGCAACAGAACAGGCGACAGTTATAAGGCATGTATAACTGCCGCTTGTTCTGTCGCTGCTGCTACTACCTCTAACGATGGACTCCTGTACGAGTCTGAAAGCTCAGGACACTAAACAAAGTGTTCCGGTGCTCGACTCTTCTTCTTCACTTATGCATACACTTGGAACTCGGAATTTCGCCTTCATCCCAGTTTACGTTCGTCTTCCTAAGAGGCGTCGTCGTGCGTCACGGACGCCTGTCTATGGGTAAACGAGACCCCGTATTACGTGCGAGGTAGACTAATACAGTAGGGAACTAGCCTGTGTGCCGAGGCGGGCGCGCATGACAGTAACGCCGTCTCCACTGTTTTGAGCATGATGTGCCACGCTGCGCTCATTTCACCTCGTTGCCGTGTGCTCATGGGCATCCTTGAACCGTCCCATATATGCAAGACTGTGGGTTCTTGCCATTCCAATCGCGGTGAGTTTTTACTGGAAATTCTTCCGCAACTCCTTCCTCTGGAGGCCATGCGCTAATTAAGCAGTCACTTGGACTATCCGGACCCCCATCTTTTAATTCAACATTCCTCATTTGAACCCTACACAATTCGCCTACGCTGTCTCCCCGGCTGGCATTCCGCCTTTTCGTCTCTATGCTTTAGTATTTAAACGTCTTTGTACTCGGGAGATGTCTCCTATAGCTAACTGAGGCCGCCGTCTCGTAAGCGAGGACGCGAAGACGTCATGACTTTCAGTTAAGCGGGGGAGGGGGGTCGAAGGGCAGGCAGTTGCCGCCTCATACGCACAAAGTTTCCCAGATGAGTGGGCAAGGCTCTCCTCTCGACATCAGGATGGCTCTCAGCATAAGGTATGAGTCACTCTGTCTCTGGAAAGGAGTATCCAAAACACTGTAGGGGGAGGTGTAGTCGTTCGACAGGCGGGATCTCCGGATCCTTCACAGGTATGAATATCTCATAGTGGGTAGTTTATTTGCTGATGACAGTGTAACTAATACGATTCGGCTAGCCTGGTCGACTGACGTTTCGATTAGGTGAACCTACTGTCTGCCTGTGTTGCGCTAGATCTTCAATAACCTGATTTGATGGCCCTGTCCTGATCGACTTTCCACTGTCTGATATGCCAGCAGTGATGGCCTGTCCGTGGTGTTGATCGTCTTGTTGCAGAAGGATCGCGCCTGCGGGACCTCTCTTCGACCAGGCTGCTCGTCGCGTTAACTAGCTGTGTCGTCTCCGATCAACGTCGAGACTTTGGTACGTTAACGCACTTCTCCGTCCTCCCCCACTTTATCCACCCTCCGCATCTGGTGGCCTCACTGGCCGCCAGGCGTAGAGCTGTTGACCTCACCACTCTTTGTCAACCAAATAGACTGCCGCCGGGTGTTCACCGCCTGCGAGCATCCCCTTCTGTTAGTGTGTCATCCCACCCATCGCGCCATCTCCGACTGTTCCGCCTTATGATAGGACGCCAAGCCAGCGAGGACAAACAAAGGAGTGGGCTGGTGCCTGCCGCAACTTTGGCTGCCCTTTGACCGCCCTCCCCCCCAGTCTCCTGGCCGAGCGCACTCGTTGTTCGCGCGCTCACGCTCCTCCGTCAATCGAATTTCAAGGTCACGGACGTCGTGTTCGTTCGCGCGCGTGTATACTAGACCCGAGCCCTGTCAGCCATTGCGGCCAGTCGCATCACCAGTTGGTTGAGAGGCTCAGGCAGTCGACTGGTGCGTGGAGGGAGGAGAGTGAGGCAGACACTGAGGCACCCACCCTCAGGGCAAATCAACGCTTCACTCACTGCACTGTTTCTAATGCGCTTGAATCTACCGTGAAGCGCCAGGCGTGGTGGCTTTAAAGATTACCAACTGACCGGGGGACTCGGTCCTCATGGAAGTGTTTTTTGGGGTGACTGAAGGCGGCCTTTATGACCCGAGCCGCCTTTATATTATGCCGGTACATGCGGAAACCAGGTCGTGTGTGATGTGCGTATGCGGGCTGTTTTGTCATGTTAATTATTGCGCCTGCGCTTACCTCTGGTCGTCTTGACGTTGCATTACCTGGTGGGTTAGGGAAGAGACAGAGAGAGGAGAGCTTGTGTGGTAGATTCCGCGCAAGTTTCTCTCATCTTAAACTACTTCACGCGCAAGTTACCGGCGCTGCGTCCACTTTATGCGCCACGCCGTGGACGATCGAACTATCGTGCTAGATCAGAGAGCACCTGCGTTTCATTTGAGAGACCAGTAGTCGATCCACTGATCCTGCGCTTACCTCTTGACGTTGCATTGCCTCTGAAGCCTCATGGGTTAGGGAAGAGACAGAGGGAAGGAGGGAGTGTGTGGTAGATTCTGCGCAAGTTTCTCTCATTGTAAACTACTTCACGACCGAACTATCGTGCTAGATCAGAGAGCACCTCCATTTCATTTGAGAGACCAGTAGCCGATCCACTGATCCCGCTACCTGCGCGAGTTTTTTGTGAAATCAGTAGTGTCAGTAATCACGTTTCTTGGCGGTAACGCAACAGAATCTAGTCCTCCAGAAGACTATGGGCAACTAAACCATGCAGCCTCATAATCGCAGCCGAGGGTTGAGACTTATCCCCTTTATGGCCCCCGAATTGGTGCAGCCAGCATGTATTAACCAGTTGACTATCGCCATTGAATAGGGTCAACGCTTTAATTCAACCAAACCACTTTTGGTTATCAGTTTCTGAGTTTTTCCAGACTGTCCTCTAGATTCCTCTCAGTCTTTTGACACATTAAGGCAGACAGACTCTGATGTCCCCCTCTTTTTTGTTTGCATTCTGAACTGGCAGTTCTGAGTCACAATAGGCTTGTGATAACAATTTAGAATGTCTCGTGAAAACAGCCCTTTCCGCCATCTTATCACGCTGCCACGTAGTCGCTGTGCCTGATGCTACCTTTTTCGTAGTCCCTACGCACAGGTTTATTTTTTCTTTTGCAACGGACCGAATCAATTGCTGCTGGCTCACCGTGTTGGGCAATTCGTGCAGATTTGACTGATTTTCAACGGTAATGGAATCACAGCAATTGGCGACTCGGGTACGGACAGACAAGTAGTCGTCGCATCAACTCTGACCCCCCTCCCGCGATGAATGCGAGTGCTGCCAATTATTGTAGGCATGTGGTTGCTAGGCAACTGCGACCCGCAAATACCGCGTTCCTTGTGCCTCAACAATCCTCTTCTGTCTCTTTTTGATGATGGGTTCGAATGAGGATCCGAAACGTCAGGCCAGTAAAGTTCTTGTTCTGGGCGATCGCTTCTTCTTCTTCTTCTTCTTCTTCTTCTTCTTCTTCTTCTTCTTCTTCTTCTTCTTCTTCTTCTTCTTCTTCTTCTTCTTCTTCCTCCTCCTCCTCCTCCTCCTCCTCTTCCTCCTCCTCCTCCTCCTCCTCATCATCATCATCATCATCTTCTTCTTCTTCTTCTCCGTCCTCATCTTCCTCTTATTCGTCTCCGTCCTCTTCTTGTTCCTCTTCTTCTCCGTCCTCCTTCTCCTCCTCCTCTTCTTCTTCTCCGTCCTCCTCCCCTTCCCCTTCTTTTTCTTCTTCTTTCTGAATTGCTTCCTGGAGCTCGTCTATTCGCTTCTATCTGCAGACTGATTTTCATGATGATTTCGTCGAAGTCAGGGCAAAAAAATCGAATTCACTTGTGACGATCGGACCCGGATCTATAACGTCCTGGGCCGTCGCCCGACCGCCCTAGAGCAGGGAGGCTAAATCTATTGCCTACTCCCTCATGTCTGGCATCAAAAAACCAATCTCTCTACTACGGAGAATCGATACGACATCCGGAATTGCATCATGTAATGAAGTAGTCTGTTTAGCTGGCTCCATCTTACATAGGAGGGTATTAATACCTCAACTGCTGCGCTTGAGTCGCAGGCCATCGTGCAGGAACTGCGCCATAGGTAAGCTGGCTTTGACGGGCCAGTTACAGCGACTTATCACAACCAGGATTGATTTTTTTATGGTATTTCAGCCACCGTCTTATCAACGCTACCGGTAAGACAGTTCGACCGTGGTTTCCGGCTATGTTCACCCTGCGCTCTACAGCAGGGTGGGAGCCGGAACGATGACTTGCGCGTGAAGTCACTCATAGTGATAGTAGACTTAAGCAGAATCTTTCGCACTCTCTATTCCTTCTCTTCTTTGGCCCGGTTTCATGACAGAGTCAAGACGAACGGAGGCGGTAGAGGGCGCAGGTGGCTGGCACGGCGAAAACCTGCACGTAGACGTGCCATCACACACCCTGGTTCACAAAATACAACTGGCCAGGATTTAACATGGCAGGAACAAGTGGGGAACTGCTCGGAATCTGACAATGACCGTAATAAGAAGGAGCCATCGCACCCCGACTCTCCATCCTCCAATGTGGACCTACTTATCCCATCAGTTGGCAGTCTTTCAAATCACGGTTTTAGCTCACCGTGATAGATTTAGACCCGTCAGCTTGTTTAAAGTGAGGTGTATGCGTTGAGACCGTCGATCTCATTCTCGCTCCTAGGCAGTAGTCCACTGCCCAGCCTGTAAGTTGTATGATGCGGGCTTTGGGCGCGGTTACTGATAGGGCTAGAAAACCCGTGTGCGCGCGCCCCCAAACTTACACACCAAGATTACACACAAAAAAGTGGGTAGGCGGCTCGGGTCATTAAGAAGGAGTCATGACAGCCTGACTCTCAGTCGGCCACTCAGCACACAGATACACTGCGCGCCCCAAGTTGAGCGTCAGTTTGCAACCTTCCAGGCCACGGCTTTTGACATGTCATGTTGGTCTGCAGCGCGTCAGATTGTTTGTAGCGCGGAATTATGCGCTGAGGGTCACCCTCACTCACTCTACCCTATCCCGGGCGCCACTCGACTGTCCGAGCCGGTCTGGGGGCGATAACTGACAGATCTGGAACGACTCGTCTTCGCGTACCACACACGCGACTCGGCCCCCATGCGCGCACACCGGGTTCTCGCACGAAAGGGAGTTGACTGCTCGGATCTCACATGTGGCGGAGGAGCTAAGTAGTACACTTCCCACTTGCGTGAGAGGTGCCAGCGATGTGGGATGTTGAAGGAGTTAATGTGGGGTGCGTGTTGATTGGGAGATGTGTGGGGATGTGGCCATGCCTGCAGTAATTTACCACGGGTTTTCATGGAGGCGTGTGTACGATGGCTGAATGTGCGAGGGCAGTTGAGACGATGGCGTCTGGTGTATGTTGGTGTTCCTGGCTCTGGTTAGCCAGTCTCTGTGCGATGGGTTCACAGGTGTCCGACCAGGCCGATGCGCGGGATGAATGTGCGGTGGCAGTGTGGGCAGGATAGGTTGGGGGATGCTGTTAGTGGTGGTCACGCTGGTGGATGGGAATTGACTGGGCTAATGCTGATCATCAGCCCCCACACATACTTGGGGGAACGTAGACCAAGTTGCCTACTAGTGGGGACCCTCTTCATTGCCCTCAGCCGGTGTTCATAATGACTGTCTCAAAATAGTCGGTCCTGCGCCAGTAACTTGTTGGTGTCTTTTCACACACGCGTGACCTCCATCTCCTGTCGGGCCACTTTACCTTTCTTCGCTGCGCATGTTAACTGTCCTTGGTAGGGCTCTGTCGCTTTTATGTTCGCAACGCCGGTTGTGTATCGATTCTCACAGGTATTTGACCAGCTGGGCGGAACCGCGCACTCCATCGGGACGGAGGTAAGATTGGGCACCCTCCCGACGGAAATCGTTGTTTCTATTCCCTTCTCTTCCACTTCAAGTTGCGGAGGGTCTTCGTAGGCCGAAATGACCTCTGTCAGATAACAACTGTGTAGAAGTAGACGCGATCACTGAAACGAGAGCTTTGCTCTCCTCACTTCTCGGATTCGCGCTCGAACCCGCCCTCAGAGACAGCAGCCGATAGGGGTAATGCATGCACAAGGGTCTAGAGTATTTATACGGCGTAGTCGCTGTGCTACCGCGTACCCATGGAAATTAACGACCTCCCCTTCATCGACGACGGTTGCCCTTGGTGTGATAATTCGAGTCGTTAGTCGTTGCTATTTCGTCAGCCGTGTTGGATGTTGGCGTGATGACTACTCAATCCTCTTCATAGCTGCCCACTATCCTGCATAATATGATGGCTGACAGGAAGGGGAGCGGAATACTCGTGATCGCTGTATGAATAATAGCTCGGGTATTGTCTTGGAGGCACTCAACTTTTGCACCACTAATGGGCTAATTTGACTGGTTACACCCCGATAAATGTCGTGAACTCTGCTGTCAGCGGCCAGATCATCGGTACTTTCCTACTGAGCGATGCCCGTCTAGTCCGAGATACTTTTCCCAGGATTTGTTTGCACGGTTTGTCCATATGCATGCCTTAGAAGGGGGCGCTGACATACTTTTAGGAGAACGCTTGTCCTAGTGCCAGCAGGTAACACGGCTGAACTACCCCAGGCGCAACGAGTTTTTGAGGGCACAGCACTAAGTAGGTTTACTTGGCTGTGGTTTTGCCCCACGCTGGTCAATGATATTACAAAGCGCTTTACCCAGGGATGAGGCGACGACCCCCTCCCCCCCTAACACTGGCAAGTAATTGATCCCGGCTCACCATGGAGCGGATAAGAGTTGACCTTCAAATACCGAGGTCCTTAGGTGGAAAGTGCTCCCTTGTCAGTAGTGAAAACACCGGAAAAGTCGCAGGGCACAACTTTCTTCCCAGGGTCCAAACGCGCGCCTGCACGCGTGCAAATTTGAGCCTGTCAAGGCGTGTAAGCATGGTTGAATCCGTCTTTTTTTTCCTCTGTCTTCCTTTCTTATCGTGTTATGCTTTTTTTTCTTGATGCTAAGACCCTGTAATTAGGCTCGCTTTCCCCCTCCCCCTCCCCCCTTGAGTTATGATTTTCAAACGCGATCTTTGGCCTTTCAGGTTCGTCCGCTCCCTCCCCTTAAGAAGCCCTGGACAGTGTGGAAATGGCTACAGGCTGCCGCCGTTGCGGCCGCCTCAGCTGGTGGCGGCTTCATTCTCTATCGTCTCGTTGTCCGAGCGCCTGCCTACGAGGGTCCTGAAGTGAACATGCGCAACAAAGTTGTGCTCGTGACGGAGGCCACCAGTAATTTTCATACA